AATCAACCCATAATTTTTTCTAACGTCACCAAATATTCACCCGAAAAATCTCATAACGAAGGTTCTCCCCAAAAAAATTCATTTATAAGTATTTGAGTTAAAAAGGCTGACGAATATCAAGGGAGAAAACACACACTAACGTTGTTTTCGAAGAACAAGCTGAATCATGCTTGGTTGTCAGAGTTTTTTGACATCTTGGGTGATATGATGTCACATGACATTCTATTATTAGACCGTTTAAAAAAAGTCAACACTGTCATCCAATCATATTTTTTTTTCACAACTTAATTTGTCATCTAAGATGTTGAAAACATCGGGAAAAATAGCATTATTCAAGCCGAAATAGTTTGATTTCTCACACTTTAGCAACCATGATTCTAATGTACGCGTATTAAACTAAATTCAAAATAAAAAAATTAGTGTATAAATCACCTTAGTTTTTGTTCTACAGCGAACACCATCAAGTTGTCTGACTCAGAGTGAGAGTGAACCAGTCAACTTGAAGCCGAGACACCTGGGCAAGCAGTGACACCCCGGCTCAAGCACAAAACTAAATCTACCAAACTGTTCCTTTACCGCAACAGCAGATTGATCTACCTTAACACAACAAAGTAATTGACCCATTCTTCATACCTATAAACACAATAAGCTTAAGAACATAAATTGAGACATTTAAAAACTCAATTAAAGAAAAGATTAGTTCTCTATTAGAAAAGGCACACTTTTAACTCGATAATTTTCAAGCAAAGGGCTAAATGACCCATTCTTCACACCTATATTCTTGCAAGATGCCACAAAGAACAATTATATTCGCAACAAATGAAGCTCAAAAACAGTAAAACTAAGAAAATAAGTAAGAAACACATTAAGTTCAAGAAATATTCCCATGTAACATATAAATTAAGTAAGAAAATAAATATGACAACAAATAAATATGTACTAAAATTATCACAATATCATCAATTTAACACAACAAAGTAATTGGTCCATGTGAATATAATTGTTCATTCAAGACACTTAACTTTAATTTATTGCAATTTTGCCATTCATCTTTGATTTTAATGTCAAGATCTTATGCGGCAGTTAATATTATGACGTGTAAACACTTGCATTAGAGTGGAAATAAACATTTAGTCCCTATTTGGTGAAATTTTAATCCAAGTCAAAATCAACAATTAATTTTAACCACACATTTTATAGGATTGACTACTTTTCAACCACACATTTTATCAACTTCTATTAAAATATACTAAAATTTTGATTTTAATCCGCAATCAAACAATGGCTTAATATATTATAATACACAAAAGTCATGTTTGCTACAAGCTATTTTAACTGTTTAACTTTATTAAAAAAATGACTGACGTGGCATATTTTGATTAAAATTATTTATATGTTATGATATTAACATTCAGGTATATTTTTTGTTTATTTTTAGTTGTAGTTAAAAATACTAGAATGGACCTATAGTGCAAAAAATTGAAAAATGAATGACTTGATTATAACAAGTTGAAGTTGAATGAACTTGACAAGATTTTACCAAAAGAGTGACCAAATATATATTGTATCCTTCACACGCACTGCAAATAGACTGAGTGCACGTTTGATATTGATTTTTCATGTTAAAAAATTAAATTTTTGACCGTTATTTCATTATTTTAGCCGTTATTTTTTACTTCTTCTTTCATAGATAGAACTCACTTTTCTCTCTAACAATCAAAAAAATCAATTTTCATAACCACTACCGAACGAGCCCTAAAAAAGATAGACATGGGATGGGAATTCTATAGAACCTATGAGGACCACACGGTTTTACAATTTTATTTTACGAAAAGTAGTACCTATACGACTAATCGCACATTCAATTGTTCAATATGGGAAAAATGAAATAAATGCAGAAATACCAAATCTTTTCCTTTTTGAAATTATCGTGTACTTTCATTGATTGGTAGAGTTGTAAATAAAAATCATCAAATCGAAACCACCTTCCGAAACAATTGGTTTGATGCCACGTGGGCCGTTGAGACAAAGATTTTGAAATAAGTCACATTGTTCTAAAATGAATTGGTCTACATTTTTAAATTTTAATGACGGTTTAAACATAATAAAAATGTATAGTATAAATTTTAATTTTTTTTTTTCAGAAACTAAAATCAATAACTAATTAATTACCGTAATATTATAACACAATTGTTGAGACTTTCTTCCATTTTGTTAGTATTTAAATTTAAAGTTTGATATAAATATGTAGTTTTTAATCACTAATAAATAATGTGTGAAAATATTCATAATCAATGAATGGAGATGATCAGGTGAACATGAAGGAAAAAAAAAATATGACCAAACCACGATTTGAAATTGCAGCAAACCATTAGGTTTAGATTTTGAAAATTTCAAACCATTTTAAAGAGTTTGGTTTATATTTGGATTTTTTTCAAATCGTTTTCGAAAATATCAAAAGCTTATCAAATCGAGCCATTTACATCCTCGATTTTATAGTTTTAAAATTTCTGTCTAGACTAGGGTATTCGATTAAATTATACAGTAATAGGAGCCATTGAAAAGGTATATATATAGTATATGTATGTATATTTATATAAACTAAGAACCCATACTTAGTTTATAAAATAAGCACTGTGCTTAGATGGCACACTACAATAGGTAATGTAATTAATTTTAAAACTAACTATTATCTTTCATCATTTATTGTAGTATGTCACGTCACTTAGTGCTTGTACTTATAAGCTAAACACGGTGCTTAGAAAATCATTAACTTATGTTAAGCACCGATGACATAACACATCATTTAATTGTTGAATCATTAAATATATGAGACATACCGTTACCTTTTTCATCAATTAAATGATGTGCCATGTTATCGGTGCTTAACATAAACTAAGTATTGATACTTAGGAGATTATTTCCGTATAAATTGGAACAGTGAAATTGATGTAGAAATATTATTAAAAGGTTTCATTGATTGGTTTTGTTTGCTTTTAAATTTCTGTCCTGAATATTGTTTTAAATTCTATAACAAGAGCCATCAGAAAAAGGATTGAACGTAAAAAATGATTTGTTAAATTTTCGCTACTATTTTTGAATGTATAGAAAACGTAAAAGAAAAAAAAAATGTATAGCTGGAATTTTCATTAATCAGACCGACTCTTCCTACTTGTCGAGTTGGACGACTTGGTCGAGATAACCTCAAATTATCTTTGACAAGGACACAATAAACATATTCAATTTGTTAGCCAGAAGACCATTTTTTACCAAAAAAGTTGTTATTCTTCATCTTAGATTTTAAAATAAGATCTTTTGAAAACTCACCTAAGGCCTCTCCACAATTCAACATGATGTGAGTCAGTGGCAAGATTATTTGTCTATTATTGTATAACTCAAAAAGATAAGCCAAAAAAAAAAAAAGTAAAAAAAAAATAATAAATAAATAATAATTTAGATGTCTTAACTTTAGTATAATAAAAAAATTGTAAAATAAATATTCATTTAGTTAATTTTCCAGGATTTAAAATTATCTAAGTCCATAGTTTCTCCTTTCTTATTTTTAGTTTTCGCTCAAATAATGTTCATTAGTTATAGAGGCAATTTAGAAGGGACTAAATGTAAAAAATGTGATATTCTACTTTCGAGTTTTTGTATATATAGAAACATATAGAATGAGAAAAACCAAAAAGAAAGAAAGAAAGAAAGAAAAAGACAATATACACCCATAGATTTCACATTAATTAACCAACTCGTCCAGCTTGTCGAGTCGAGCCGAGCAGTCTTTACCAAGATTTCAAATTGTCTAGTTTTTGATAGTGGGTTGAGATTTTTTATTCTTATATTCACTCAATAGATCTTTATTTAATTTTCTAAAGATTTTC